TCCCCTGGGCTCTGGAGGCCCTCCGGAAGCTGAAAACAGGCCCGTTTCCAGACGTCCGGAAGGGCCATTTTCCCCCCTGCCAGAGCCTCCACACGCATGCGTGCGCCGGAAACCAGAAGAGCAATGGGCGACGGCTGGCATTCCCGAAGAGATGGCTCTGCGTGCCACTTTATTTATTTATTTTGATTTTTCAATCGCTTACAAGATAACAGGTATAAGTATATACATAGTTATGAATACATGAAATGGGTACATATAAGAAAAATAAAAAGAAACAATAGGATAGGGACGGTAGGCACGTCGGTGCACCTATGCACACCCCCTACAGACCTCTTAGGAAAGGGGTGTGGTCAATAGTGGACAGTCTAAGGTTAAAGTTTTTGGGGTTTGGGGAAGAAACCACAGAGTCAAGTAGAGGATTCCAGACATTGACCACTCTGTGGCTGAAGTCGTATTTCCTGCAATCAAGTTTGGTGCGGTTAACCTTGAGTTTGTATCTATTGTGTGCTCTTGTGTTGTTAGGGTTGAAGTTGAAGTATTCATTGACAGGTAGGACATTGCAATGTATGATTTTATATACCATACTTAGATCAGACTTCATCACTTCTGGCACGCGTGCCATAGGTTCACCATCAGAGGTAAATACTGTATTTGCAGATAAGCCTATCCACAGATCTAACCAATCACAATTTTGGAGATATATTCTGGCAGCTAGAATTCTTAGCTTATCTTCGAATATATATGAGGTAGCTTTTTATTATGGGCACACAATAATTTCTTTCTTTTGGGTTTTTTTTTTTTTAAGAAAATGAGGGAATTCTCACGAAAACGCTAAACTTCCGCAAGAGTTAGTTAAAGTTAAAATGTTTACCAACAGCAGAAACTGAGGACAATCAATCAAATCTCAATAGAATAGGGAAAGGAATAGAATAGAATTCTTTATTGGCCAAGTGTGATTGGACACACAAGAAATTTGTCTTTGATGCATAAACTTGCAGTGTACATAAAGAAAAAAAATATTCATCAAGAATCATAAGATACAACATTTAGTGATAGTCATAGGTTACCAATAAGCAATCAAATCATACTAGGAAACAAATAAAACAATATAAATTGTAAAGATACAAGCAACACGGTTATAGTCATAAGTGGGAAGAGACAGATACTGGGAAGGATGAGAAGAGTAAATAAGTAATAAAGTTGGACTTAGTAAATAAGTTGGACAGTGTTGGGGGAATTAGTTGTTTAACAGAATGTTGGCATTTGGGGAAAAAAACTGTACTTGTGTCCAGTCGTTTCATGTGCAGTGCCCTATGGCGTCATTTGGAGGGTAAGAGTTGAAACAGTTTATGTCCAGGATGTGTCAATTAAATCTCAATCAATCAATCACATCTCAAGAGTTGAACGCTCACCTTGAAGGGCTGGGGTTCAAAGGCCGAAGGCTTCCAGAGAACCCCAATAACGACTCCTCCATATTTGTCATAGAAGAATAGGGCGAAGTCACTGAAGGCTTCCTGCAATGAGAAAGGGTCCATTAAAGGAAACGGCCAACATCTCCAAGTCTACTCAATCTTCATGATTCCAAGATGGCAACTGCCATCATGACCTCCCAGGGTCATATGATCCCATATGATATCCCAGGATATCCCAGGGTCATATGATCACTTTTACGACCTCCTAAAGAGCAAAATTAATAGGGGAACAAGGTTCACTTTACAACCATGTTGCCAACTTAATGACTGCACTGATTCCCTTAACAATTTCCTGACATCATCAGTGCTACAAAGGAGGAGAGTTGGCTTTCTATTCACCTACCGTGGTTGTCCTGTCAAGTGATGATGGGCCTCTTGTTTTCTATCTTGGTGGTTCTAGGAACTCTGTGTTCAAGTTGCCAAGGGTGAGAAACACTGGATTAGAGCACGGATGGGAGACCACCAGGAAACCTACAGCAGTGGCCTGAAATGGGAAACTGATCTTTCTACTCACAAGGCACTAAGTTCAGCCTAAGGGACACTTAACCTTGTGGTACTCAGAGGAGAGCCATAAATTGGGGTTAAGAATCTTTTCAGCAACAAGCTGAAGCAAGTATCTTACTAACTGGGTTTAGTTGGGTTTACTCTTGGTTATTTCTGAAAGCATTTAAAAAAAAAACCCAGGCATAGTTGCCATCTTGACATGGAATGACCATACACCCTGTACAGGTAATCCTTGACTTACTGTCAGGGTTTTTGCAACGTGACTACTATTGTGAGACAACCCAGGAGCAAAACACAGCTTCATCTTTTAACAGTGGTTTACATACATATACGTGATAGGCAAATACTTGGCAATCGATCAATCTTCTTTACTCTGCACAGAGAACTACAATGGAGATAGAACATGAGGGGAGAGGGATATGCCCTTTCATGGCCACCCTTATATAGACAGCTTCTTAAAGCGGCAATAGCCCTGTGGACCCATCCTCGGTCTTAAAGCGGCAATAACTTTGCTGACTCATCCTCATTGTATCAGCTTTTACAATAGCCTTACAGCAACTGGTCAGCTATTAAATCTCACTACCTTGATACTTACAACCATTCCTTTAGTTACCATTTGAAGTGACTTATAACCGTTTTTCACATTTACAACCGCTCAAAGTGGTCACGTGATCAAAATTAACAACTGTGCTGATTCATTGAGCAACGCTGGTTATAAACCAGGGCAAAATTCACTTAACAATGCTGGCTTAGCCCTGGAAAGTTGAGAACGGTCTCTTTCTTATAAGCTTCTTGGTTTTAGGTGGTTTTTATTATTATTTTTCCCTACAATATTTGAAGTAGGTTTTTACAAGTCACGGGGAAGTCCTTGGGCAAAGGAGTCCTCTCAGGGAACACCCATCCAACCTGGGTGGTATCTTTTGTTCATCCTTTTAAAATGAGGAAAAAAGAAAATAAGATCCCAAAATCCCGGGGAGGAGCATTCACGCCTAGCCAAAACCCCTGGAGGGCAACCATCAACGCTACTGATGAAACACGCTTGATCTGGCAGCTGAATTAAACCCGTTTGGGGATTAAACTATCCGAGGGGCATGTTTCTGGCATGAAAACCTTAAATGGTTGCAACCACTCTACATCTCAGTTTTTGAGAATTGCTGATCAGGAAAGAAAATTCATCTATCTATCTATCTATCTATCTATCTATCTATCTATCTATCTATCTATCTATCTATTTCTCTCTATCTGTATCTCTCTCTCTCTCTCTCACTCTCTCTCTCTATCTATCTATCTCTGTCTGTCTGTCTGTCTGTCTATCTGTATCTATCTATCTATCTATCTATCTATCTATCTATCTATCTATCTATCTATCTATCTATCTATCTATCTCTGTCTCTATCTATCTATCTATCTATCTATCTATCTATCTATCTATCTATACCTATCGATCTATCTATCTGTACCTATCTATCTATGTATCTATCTATCCATCCATCCATCCATCCATCCATCCCATCTGTATTCTTTTTATTTTTAGAAATAAGGCAGCAAACAAAGAAAATCTCCAAATTAATAATCTACCGGTATCCACCCATCCAATCTTTATTATTTTTGCAGCAAACATCTAACACACCTTCCTCCTCCTATTTTCCCCACAACAACCCAGTGAGGTGGGATGGGCTAAGAAAGAGAGACAGTGGCCCAAAGTCACCCAGCCAGCTTTCATGCCTAAAGAGAGGACTAGAACTCACCGCCTCCTGGTGATTGGCTCAAAGTCACCCAGCTGGCTTTCCTGGCCAAGACAGAACTAGAACTCAACATTTTTCTAGTGATTGGCCCAAAATCTCTCATCTGGCTTTCATCCTAAAGTAGAACTCGAACTCACAGTCTGCTGGTGATTCGCCAAAGTCACCCAGAGGGCTTTTGTGTCTAAGGTGGGACTAGAACTCACCATCTCCTGGTGATTGGCTCAAAGTCAACCACCTGGCTTTCATGGCTAAAGTGGGACTAGAACTCAGAGTCTCCTAGTGATTGACTCAAAGTCACCCAGCTGACTTTCATGGCT